CAAAATGGTTATTGCTTTACTAATGCCAAAGCCACCAGCTAACACTGTCAAATAATTCAAATGCAAAATTTCTGAACATTTAAGTAGAATGGTTCATTACTTAATTTTTTAATTTTGTAAACACTTGAGATTACATATAAACAACATAAAAGTAACAAATTTTAAATGTTAAATTAAAAATGTTATTTCCAAAAATCTAGATTTAGAGAAAGATGCTATTTTAAGTTAACTATGTCTTTACTAATGAAATAAAATGCAGACTGAAAAGCTATTATTAAAATACTTTTTTCAGCAAAGACAATAAAACATACTGAAGAAAAATACATAATTACAAAAAAATAAATAAGGAAAAACAATGCCTCCTGTAGTCTTAATTCACTACAGATTCAACTAAGGACAAACTTTTCAGAACTATATCTTTTTCACAGGCAAAGAACAGTAAGTTTCTGATCTCTGATTATATGATCAAGGAACAAACCGTAATATATAAACATGGCACAAAATCCAGGCTTTCCTCTCTAACTGACCCTCAAACACCAACAACCAAACACAATTTAAAAGGATAGTTTGTAACCTTCAGGTAAGCATAAATTAGTTTTATCTAGGCTTTCATCATACTGCTTCTTATAAAATCCATCTTTTAAGTACATTCCTCTGGTTTACACTGTTAATAATTAAAGCTAAGAAGTACTCATGCCAATTAATCATATACTGATATTTTATGACAATATGCAGATATTTGTGAGATGACAACTTTCCAAAACCAGTAATATCCCAAATTTAAAAAAAAATCTTTTATTGCTCTGAACTATGTAGCAAAGTGAAAGCACCTAGAATGGGAAGAGGTGAAACAAGCAGGAAAAACATGGAAAAGCCCCAATAGTTTTAATTTGAAATAGTCCAGTTCATTTCTTCCAAACAGAAGAATTCACAGTATTTCTTCAGCTTTTGAATTCTAGACGTTCAAATTGCCATAGTGCCCTGTAAAAACTAATACATAAATGCAGTTATCATCCAGCAACAATAAAATGGCTTTTAATTGTTTTTAATTAATTATATTCCATTAAAGCATCTTCATAATATAGGAAACTTATTTAAGAGATTTTAAGGTTTATAATTCAGATCAATCCATACTGTTAGGGTAATGTTGACCTAAGATATAGAACTTTCATCAATAAACATATCAAAAACAAAACAAAAACCTTGAAACACTAAAATATACATAACATATGGCTACAATTAAAAAGAAAACTAGAATCAGATTAATAGCAACCATTTAAAATGAAAAATGAACAGCTTCATAATCTGCCACCGACTAAAATCTTCTATCTCTATTAGAGAAAAGAACCACAAGTAAATTACCCTTTATCAAAATAAGGTAGTTTGGGCTCTTTTTTTTTTTGAGAGGGAGCCTCAAGCTATCCCCCTGGGTAGAGTGGCATGGCATCACACTCACAGCAACCTCCAACTCCTGGGCTCAAGCGAGTCTCCTGCCTTAGCCTCCCAAGTAGCTGGGACCACAGGTGCTGGCCACAACGCCTGGCCATTTTTTTGGTTGCAGCCATCATTGTTGTTTGGCGGGCCCGGGCTGGGGATTCGAACCCGCCACCTCAGGTGTATGTGGCTGGCGCCTTAGCCGCTTGAGCCACAGGCACCGAGCCAGTAGTTTGGGCACTTAAAGATGATACAAAAGATCACTGCCAAAAATCACCTATAATAAAATTTTTAAATATATTTAGATTTAATATAAAGTCAAATTGGTTTGGTATTTGTGCCAATACTTAATGTTATATTTGCATTAAGATAAGAAATATAGAAAAAGAATATGGTCTATAAAATAAATTATTTCCAGTTTTGGTACCTGAAATCACTCAAGTTTTTTTGATAACTCAGAACACTTGTAGAACACATCTAAGTATCTGAAATGTGAAGTTGAATACTTACATCATCATACATGAAATTCACAAACCCTTGCTGTAAGTGGTCTCTTTTCCTAAAGAAATCTTTAAACAAAGGAATTATTTTTTACTATAATTTAAAATATTAGGAGTCCCCACATACAAAAAAAGTAACAATTTCACATTCAATTAAATCTTAAATGCTTTATTATCCCAGGTAACTGAGATATGAAGAAAATTTGCCAAAACTTAGAACAATTTTTCATTATTTATATTCCTAAATTTTTAAAGCCTTAAAACTAATTAAATTTAATAATGAAAAAAGGAAAGAAAAACACTTTAAATTTGCAAAAGGATATAATAAGCAGCACTATTCATAATAATGTAATACTGTACCCAGTCTCTAATGGTCAATACCTGTCAATGCTCGAAGCTTTACACAGCAAGCAACATAATCATCAAAGAAGATTCTGCCATTCTTGCTATAACGTTTAACAATAGCAGTTAACGTCTGAGGACTCAATCTATAACCTAAAAAAAATTGATAAATTAAAACTCTAAACACTATAACATTGCAAGATTGCTTTCTCATTAGTGAAGTTGTAAAATAAACTTTCAAAATACATTCAACAGAAATATATATTAGAAACAAAATACATTCATCATGTTTAAACTGATCAAAGCCTTCATTATTAACACTGTTACAGGATACATAAATATCACATTTTTAGCTTAAGTTAAAGAAAAGAAAATATCTTTTTTTTTTTTTTTTTTTGAGACAAGAGTCTCACTTTGCTGCCCTCAGTTGAGTGCCATGGTGTCACGCGCGCAGAAACCTCAAACTCCTGGGCTCAAGCGATTCTCTTACCTCAGCCTCCCAAGTAGCTGGGACTACATACAGGCACCCACTACAATGCCTGGCTAGTTTTTCAAAGATGAGGTCTTGCTCAGGCTGGTCTCAAACCTGTGAGCTCAGGCAATCCACCCACTTCAGCCTACCAAGTGCTAGGATTACAGGTGTAAGCCACAGTACCAGCCTATAAAATATCTTCTTATGAATTTATAATCTATTTTGATTTTGAGATAGTGTCTAGGGTATTACACAGGTTTTAATGGTTCAATACTTCAGTTTCTTGACTTTTTATAGTTCTTAAAGAATATCAGAGCAAAGATTATTCATCATACGCTATCTTTTTTTTTTTTTTTTTTTTTGAGACAGAGTCTCACTATTTCACCCTAGGTAGAATGTCGCGGCATCACACCTCACAGCAACCTCAAGCTCAACCTCAATCACAAAAAGTGATTCTCTTCTCTCAGCCTCCCAAGTATCTGGGACTACGGGTTCCTGCCACAATGCCCGGCTATTTTGGGGCTGTAGTTCTCATTGCTGTTTGGCAGGCCCAGGCTGGGTTCCACCCCGCCAGCTCTGGTCTATGTGGCTGGCAATCTAGCCGCTGAGCTACAGGTACCGAGCCGTGATATGCTATCATAGAGTCCTATATTTCCTACTGAAGATATTACGCAAAAGTGTCTCTTACAACCAAAGACAATTTGAGGATTAATATGGTTTACTCAAAAGAAGAAATAGAAAATTATTATTCCTTTTTGTCCTATAGCACGTTTTCCATTTTTTCACACACTGTAATTATAACCACAGCTTTCTTATTTCACTAATTCCCTTGGTTCCTTGTTGTAGATGTGTCATCTCCAAAAATTCTTGATGTGTACTTCTATCAGCAATAAGTTTCTTCTGATCATCCACTTTCAGTATACATGCTTTTAGTTAGTTTTAAATTCTATACATGTTTTATTGTTTAATCTTAAACTACACATAAAATCTGAAATTTAAAAATAATAAAAATAAATTATTATTTTCTACATGTATTTTCTATACCTTTATAGATAGCCCTAGACATTTCATGACATGTGTATACTTTACTATGGAGAATACTGACCTAGTATTTTTACCTATATATTACTGATTCATAGATTTAGACAAATAACATTAATCATTAATCCATTTGATGATAAAAACAAGAAAAATAAATTCACTAAGAAAAAATTTTATGTGTAACTATAATATAATGTAACTTAGGAAACTTGCCAGAAGTAAATGAAAGTAAAAGTACACATTTAGGGGGTAGTAAAACATGTAAACTAATGTAGTTCATATACAAATATACTGTGAACTTCCTTTTAGAGAATTATGCTTCAGATGTGGTATTAATAAAATTCCTAAGATCGTCCCATAGTATTCTCAGTAATTTGAATTTTTGTAATTATATCTAAAGATCTTAAGTTTGAATAACTGGGATACATCCTTTTTACATTCAACTGCCCATCTGAATTCTTTGGACGTTCTCTTCTTTGCGAAAGATTGTTACTTTTCCAACATTAGACTGAATGAAATATCAAGTTTAATCCACTGGGCAGTGAAGCTCTATCTATAACTGAACTATACATGTTTATATGGCTAGGACTTTTCCTAACTACTTAACTGTCTATAAAACAAAATTAAAAAGGTCATTAGTTCAACTTCTTTAAATTGTAATTTGAGATACATCCACTTGCACTGAGTTCAGATTTTAACTTTCAAAAAAGTGATTTTTGTACAAATGTTAATTTTGTTAAAAGTCAATGTAACTGGGCAGCACTTGTGGCTCAAGGAGTAGGGCACCGTCCCCATATACCAGGGATGGCGGGTTCAAGCCCAGTCCTGGCAAAAAACTGCAAAAATCAATGTAACTGGCCAGGAGTGGTGGCTCATGCCTGTAATCCCAGCACTTGGGAGGCTGACAGGTGGATTACCTAAACTCACAGGTTCAAGACCAGCCTGAGACAGAGCACGACCTCCTTTCTAAAAAATAGCTGGGTGTTATGGCAGGTGCCTATAGTCCCAGCTACTTGGGAGGCTGGGGCAAGAGAATCGCTTAAGCCCAAGAGTTTTAGGCTGCTGTGAGCTATGACACTATAACTACTCACACTTGCATATGAAAAACAAAACACAACTATAGCCTAGGATGAAGAAAAGCGGAGGGAGAGGGGAAAGGGGTGGGGTGGGTCCGATACAGGGAGAGTTAGTAGGGGGACCACATATGGAGCACACTGCAAGTACAAGTTGGATCTATCAGGTGTAGAACACAAATGTCTTAATCCTGTAATTGGGTGAATGAGGTGAAGGCTGTGTTGATTTGATTAGTAGGATGTAAGAACTCCAATTTGTACAAATAATCAACACATTGAATCCCATAATGGCATAAATGTATTTATGATCTATGTACAAATGACTTAATAATAAATAATAATAAACATTAAATTAAAATAAAAATCACTTGGGAGGCTGAGGCAAAAAGAATCCCTTAAGCCCAAAAGTTTGAGGCTGCTGTGAGCTGTGATGCCATAGTACTCTACTGAGGGGAACATAGTAAGACTCTGTCTCAAAAAAAAAAAAAAAAAAAAAATCAATGTAACTGGCCAGGCATGGTGGCTCACTTATGCCTGTAATCCTAGCACTCTGGGAGGCTGAGGCAGATGAATTGCTTGAGCTCATGAGTTCAAGACCAGCCTGAACAAAAGCAAGACCCCGTCTCTACTAAAAATAGAAAAAACAAAAACTGAGGCAAAAGGATCACTTGAGCCCAAGTTGGAGGTTGCTGTGAGCGATGACGTAACAGCACTCTACTCAGGGCCATAGCTTGAGACTCTGCCTCAAAAAAAAAAAAAAAAAAAAATCAATGTAACTAAAATCACAAGGGTAAAAACAATCAAGCTACCTAAAATTGTCTTAACTGTACACAAATTAAACACCACTGTGTATTTTCATTTTGAAAGAGAGTGCACTAAGAACATTAGCTTATCAGACTCATGATGCAAATAAAGTTACTTTTTTTTCTTTTTAGGAGACAAGAGTCTCACTCTGTCACCCTGGGTAGAGTGCTGTGGCATCACAGCTCATAGCAACCTCAAACTATAGGGCTCAAGTGATCCTCTTACCTCAGCCTCCCAAGTAGCTGAGACTATTGGCACCCAGCCAAAACACCAGGCTAGTCTACTTTTAGTAGAGACAGGGTCTCACTCTTGCTCAGGCTGGTCTCAAAGTCCTGAGCTCAAGCATTCCATCTAACTCAGACTACCAGAGTGCGAGGGTTACAGAGACATGCGCCACCATGTGCTGCCAACTTACATCCTTTTAAAATATTCCAAAATGCAAACTTTCCATTGTAAGGTATTTTTGTACCTACTTTGTGTTCTGTACTATACAAGAAAAAAATAAAACATGGTTTTTTACTGCTGAAAAGCTTGTACAGAGATCTGTGACTGATTAAATAAGCTTTTGTTCCCCAAGTAGAGATGGATCCCACTAAGTTAAGAATAAATACAATAAAAGTGGTGAGTACTAACAATTAGAGAAATAAATTTAATTTTACTCAACAGAGGAAAGTCAGAATGTATGCATGTATGGAAGATCATCTTTTGAAAAAAATTATAACTAAAATAGGTTTTGTTGAGTTCTTTGACAATCTTGAACGCAAATTAAAGAAATGCTGGTGAAAAAATATATCCTTTTATTACTGAATAAATTGAAGAAAATGAGATTAATCAAAGAAGATAAGCTTTATACATTCTAAAGAATTTTAATATTCTTACCCATAAGAGCAATGGCTTGACCCAATTCATGATGTTCTACTGTGCCGCTTCGGTCTTGATCAATAGTCATGAAGTTTTGCTTCCAGGCATTAAGAGCAGCCCAAAGCTCTTTGAATTCATTAAATCCCATTTTTCCTGTGTAATCTCTCTGATAGTTTTATTAATAAAAATAAATTTTGACACCTGAGAGATGTGACTCAAAACTCCAAATTATTGACTAAAATTTAAGTATGCCTCTGAAGTGAATCAAACTCAGCATATGAACAAATTTCTGTGTAAAAATAAAAACATATGGAATTCAAATAGGATTTTAAAGCCCTTTTAAATACTCTAGTTTACTATGGTCATTTAAAACTAATCTGGCTTAACAGATAGAAAGCAATCTGTACTTTAGTATTTTTAATTTTTATCCAAGGATACATCCAACATGGCAATCATAATTCTGCAGGTTTCCAAACTGAAAGCTGTAAAAGATATTCAATATTTGAAATGCAATCTGCTCTATTTTATCTACCTGAAATTTATAACAATATCTATTTTCAAAACAAAACATTTTTTAAAATCCCCATAACACACAAAGCACCACAATCAACAAATTTTTATTCTTATTTTATTGTTTAAAAAATGACTAAAAAGGGGTGGCATCTGTGGCTCAAAGGAGTTAGGTGCCAGCCCCATATGCTGGAGGTGGCAGGTTCAAACCCAGCCCCAGCCAAAAACTGCCAAAAAAAAAAAAGACTAAAAGAAACCATTATCCTCAAACTATTCATATCTAGTGAGGGGACTGAGGTAATTTAATAAGCTTCAGGAAGATGAGAAAGAATATCTGACAACTATTAACTTCAGTAAAGGCAAAAGGTTAAATGAAAAGTAAAAGTAATCATACTTTACCATAATACCAGCTATGAACAACATTTAGATAGCACAATAAGACAAAGACTGATATTCCTAACCAAAACTACTACAGACTGTCCCTGGGTTACTAATGACATAGATTCTATAGCTTTGCTCTTAAGTTGAATTTGTATGTAAGTCAGAACAGGTACTATTACCTACAATAGCATCTGTGAGTGTGAGTCAGATGTCAATCAGATGTTTGTTACCTCGGGGACTACCTGTATATAACTACATAGGAAAGATGGGCGGTAAGAAGTATTTCCATGTGGATTATATGGATAAGGGTGAGTTTAAAGTTCAAAGAAAGTTAAATCCTCACCTTCAATAGCAAGATATCAATTGATAACCATTAAAACCGAAAATCATTAATGATAAAAACATGCTATCTTAAAATGGAGAAGAAAATTTCTAAAGAATCAGCTAAAGAGTTGAGAAAGGTCTCCTCTATGGTTTGAGTTAGGGAGACAACTCAATTCCTATTCCTGAATAGGAATTTTTGTAACAAATCTTATTGATGTACTTGACTCTCTATGTGAATGTTATAACTGTGATACTTTTTTAATATTTTAAGTATGTGAACAAAGAAGTTAAAAAATTAATCTCCTACTCCAATTTCATAAGAAGCATAACAAACTCACGAGTATAAGTTCCACTAATTCCAGACTGTGTCAAACATATCTGAAGTTCTTCAGCATCCACTTCACCATCCTGTTTAAAAATAATAACCTGATTTAATGCTCAGTTGTATAAAAGCATATTCAAATGAAAATGACTGTAATAGGCCTATCTGGAAATATGCATTATATTACTCTATAATCAACTACAAAAGTCTAGAGGTAAGTATTAACAATAGCAAATTACGAAACATCATCATGAATAATGTCTTCTACATCTGAAAAATAGCATAATCACCCTATTCCATGGTAGTTCAAAATACTATCTTGTGAAAGTCGCTGTGGCTCTATACAAACTAGAGAAATGCCTAAAATGTGTTCACAAGTCTCAAACTTCCCTATTCATGCCACTTTTGGATTATTTATAAAGAATACTGAAGTTTTAACTAGAAGTGGAAAATATCTTTTCCCCCTCCACAACCACCTCAGCAATATTTTAGAAAACCTCTGCATTTTGTTGCTATTCTTCTAATTATTGATTGTCCTTGTTAGAACTTAATATGGGAAATAAATTTTTTACTGTAAACTAGATGTCACAATGGAAATGAAATAGATTCTCTTATGTTTTGGTACTCCATACTGATTTCTACAAAAACACAAAGTAATTCACTTGGAAATATCACATTCATGGCACAAATGCTAAACAGCAGCTATGAGGAAGATCAAGGGGGCAAATTTAAAACATATTCTTCATAAGAAACTCAAGACACGAACACCTGTGCAAACTACTTTGAAGAAATACTATGAACACTCATAATGGATCTTTGGCAAGCAACCCCTTAAAAAAAACTGCAGTGGTGGGCGGCGCATGTGGCTCAAGGAGTAGGGTGCCAGCCCCACATACTGGGGGTGGCCGGTTCAAGCCCCGCCCCAGCCAAAAGAACTGCAAAACAAACAAAAAAACAAAAAATGCAGTGGTTCTAAGATAGGGTGACCAGACCTCCCGCTTTTTAACAATTTGTCCCGCGTCCTACGCTCGGCGTTTTAAAAAAGTCCCGATTTTTGGAAAGAATGCAGGAACAGGCAAGAGAACAGGAAAGGAATATACAGTTTTCCACTGACATGTGGCTATTTCGCCAGAATATGAGTTTTATATTTTTGTTAATTTTATGTTAAACTGTAATAACAAATAATTGTTGAGAAGTGATTATTGAGAACTGCTTATCAAAGTTTGCATTCTTGTCAGGCCCTGCCCCGCCCCATCCCACCCCCGGCCATGTTGTCCCGATTTACAAATGTTAAAATCTGGCCACCCTATTCTAAGAGGAATTAAAAAAATACTGAGAGGCTGGGCACCCATAGCTCAGTGGTTAGAGCACTGGCTCTGTGCACAGGGGTGGCAGGTTTGAACCTAGCCTGGGCCTGCTAATGAAAACAAAACAAAACTATTGAGAATCGTTCTTCTCAATGGAAAATCCATACAGTACTATTCTTTACTAAAAAGCATTTAAATGCTCCTTTCCCTATCACATATATTTTTGAGAACTTCTTACTAAATTTCAAATTCTATAGTAAGAAAATTATACTTTAAAATAATTATCCATATTTTTAGATTGAGGGATAGGTTAGATTTTTTTTCTCAAATTATAAAGACTTTTGAAGGATTTTTTTAGCATGTTATATTTAACCAACAATTACCTAACTCTATATTATAAGTCCTAAAGCAAGTATTTCAAACCATTATTATATTTCAGGACTCTTTAAAAACTACAAAAACACCTGTAACATGAAAACACTTCGAACACGTCCCATGCAGAAATCCGCAACCCTATCAATTAAGTCTGACAGCTGCCACTGCAATATCCATCTCAATGAAATGATGAACACAAATGCCAGATGTTGTCAGACTAGATTTTAAAAGATAATCTTTTACAAATTTTTTAAAACGGAAGCAAAGGTAGGAAATGTTTTTTCCTCTTTTTAATTTAAAAAATGCCCTCTAGTACACTGAATGTAATATGGTTATAAATTATTTTTTTTCTTTAACTCTTAAGTGGGGAAATGATATTCTACATAAAGATTAAATGAATAAGAATTACTAAGCTTAATCCTTTTGTTCTCATTTATAAAATTGATGCATTGTGGGCAGCACCTCTGGCTCAGTGGGTAGGGTGCCAGCCCCATATACCAAGGGTAGGGGGTTCAAACCCAGCCCCAGCCAAACTGCAACAAAAAATAGCTGCGTATTGTGGTGGGTGCCTGTAGTCCCAGCTACTCGAGAGGCTGAGGCAAGAGAATCACCTAAGCCCAGGAGTTGGAGGTTTCTATGAGCTGTGAAGCCACAGCACTCTACCAAGGGTGACAAAGTGAGACTCTGACTCAAAAAAATAAAAAATTAATGCACTGTTTAGACAACAGCCTCAAACTTAAAACTTTTTAGAAAGGAGAAATTTGATTTATTAGAACTAGACCAATCCCATTAAAATGAAGGGAAATCAATCATGCACAGTGGTCTGATACTTTCGGCTCAAGTATAAGCTTCTTCTGTAACATTTTCTACAATATACTTAGCTCATGGCAAACTTTTCTCTAAATTCTATACTTCCAAAAAGACACAGAAGAAACCTTAAAGCAGGGGTCCTCAAACTTTTTAAACAGGGGGCCACTTCACTGTTCCTCAGACCGTTGGAGGGATGAACTGTGGGCCGCAAGACAAGTCGGCTGCTAAGCAGGACAGGCAGCAGCAGCAAAAACACCCGTGGGGCCAGATAAATGTCCTAGGCGGGCCGTAGTTTGAGGATGCCTGCCTTAAAGGATACAGAAGCTCTTTTATAGAAAAAGAATCAAAGTTTACAGAGAAAGCAAAGTTGAAAAAATTGCTCAAAAAATACACAGAAAAAGTCATTGTAAACTTGAGCTAAAGAATATTAAGAATCATTTTAGAGTCTTCCTTAATTCTCTTTGAATTGAATAGAAACTAATAAAGACATCTTACATCTCTTCTCCCACAAAATAAAACAGAACTTTAAACTCCATGGGTCAAATTTCTACCTGTTCATTTACCTGCAACGGCCCATGCTTCCTCTACTGGCTACTCTGCAGGGAATAGGTGCAAGGTAGTTCTATGTCATATGCTTCTGAAGTAAAATATGGCTTGGTGCCTGTGACTCAGTTGTTAGGGCACCAGCCTCATACACTGGGGCTGGCGGGTTTGAACACGGCCCAGGGCTGCTAAACAACAACTATAACCACAACAACAACAAAAAAAGTAGACAGGTATTGTGGCGGGTGCCTATAGTCCCAGCTTCTTGGGAGGCTGAGGCAAAAGAATCACTTAAGCCCAACGGTTGGAGGTTGCTGTCAGCTGTGACTCCACAACACTCTACCAAGGACGACATAGTTAAGACTCTGGACTCTGTCTCAAAAAAAAAAAAAAAAAAGAAGAAGAAGAAATAAATGTGAATTCTTCATATGAAAAACTAAGTTTCTTATTTTAACAGAGTTGAGCAGTAAATGCTATAAAGCTATAAAACTCAAGAAATTTTTCATAAAACTCCACAAAAGGTCTCAGAGCAACTTAAATGCTGATCTTTTATAAATCCTTCACCTTTTAAAGCTTTTAAAATAAAATGTCAAATCACTGAAATATAAAATCTTCCTCCTCAAGTCATTACTCAGGTTTACCTTCTAAAAACAACCAGACTAAAATATGATAAGAAACTGGTCCATATTTTAATATGCTACAAAATGTAAAAATCTCATAAGATGAACGGCCTTTACAAATTTAATTAGGGTTGATGTCAATGTGCGCCAAACAAGGTGAGGGGAGCAAGCTCAGAGTCAGATCCTATCTTTATTTAAACACTGAATATACCGATCATCACCAATTTTTGTATTAATTTTGATTTTTCAAAATGTCACATACTGAGTGATAGTACTCAGTATTTACTGAGTACTACTTATCTCAGTGAATACTGAGTTTTTAAAAATCATCTTAAATTTTACATCCAAGGCAAGCCTTCCATTTGCCTTATTCCAGCCTGACCGTAAGTCATTTAGCAATATGACAACACCTAAAGGTTTATACCAAGAGTTTAGGTTAGTGGATCTTCAATGGCAACTAAAAGAAAATAATAATAAAAAATATGTATTTATTTCTCTAAATATGGCCAGAAGCCCATTTTGGTTTATTAACACAGTTTCTATTTTTAAAAATATATGAAACTAAATTACTTACATAAAATTCTAACCCCACAGTGTATTTGAGTATCTTATGTAAAAACAAAATCTAGGAAGTAAAGGGATAGCAGATCTGCAATAGGGGAAGAATTTGCTCCTGAGGACTTCATGTGACACTGGGATATGTCTCGTGGCTTGAATCTAGGCAGCGGGATAGGGCTCTACTTAAAGGAAACAAAACCAAACCAAATGAAACTAACAAAATATACTGCTAACATCTGCTTAAATATCTCACTGCTGAGAAGGCTTAGAAAGCAGAACCAGAATGTTAAACTAAGTTGCTCCTCACTTGCTGAAGGGAACTGCAATGTCAACATTGGGAAGAAGCCCTGAGCTATGAGCTATCACGTAATCTACCCTGAACACAAAATCTAGGTAGAAATGATCACAAAACCATCAGACAGTGAAGGGTGGCTGGGGGAGAGGGAGAGATGACATGGAAAGGAACAGAAAGAGGGAAAGAGAAAATTAACAAAAACTCCACCTGAAATAACTTTACAAACCAAAATTCCAAAGTTTATGGGAAAATCAAATGTTCAAAAACCAAAAATCAATAATTTTAGAACAAATTCATATAAGAAAAAATTAATTTTATAGAGCAGTCATTACAATAAGTATGTGAAAAAATACAGTGATAGCTGACTAAATAATCTCCACTCAAGAAAAAGAAATTCTCTGATCTAATATTTATTCAATAGTCTTCTACACTTCTACATGCAGACACCATTCATTAGATTCACATGTATCAGTGTCCGGAAAAAATTCCTTGCCTTTATAGAGGTTACATTTTAGTAGTATAAGATCAAGAATAAAGAAGAAATTATATCAGAAGGTAATAAGTACTAAGGGAAAAAA